CAGAGTCTTTTCCTAGTTTACTTAAGTTGATAGGGAAAGGGCATTGCCTGTACAAGTAGTTGGTATGTTATCATCTTGTCACTGGAGAAAAGAATGAAATAATACAGCCTAAATTCATTAAATAGGCAGTTTTTGGATACTGCCTCTGGCATTCTCTGTAGAAATACTTTACTTGTAACACTTTTCTGTATTTTTAAGAAATTGTGAATAATTTTTCTCAAATATTATTTTGGTTTGTAACTTTAGGGGGTAAAAACTTGAATTGTAATCATCAAGACAAGGTATTTATTTGAATGCCAATTCTGAAGAATTTAAAGATAATGTTTAATTTTCATTCATTTAATTTTAATTTCTTTTTTTATATTAGTGGTATCTACCTCTTTCTTTTCTCTTGAAATATTGCTGACAGTTAGATGAGAAATCTCTAAAAGGAGGGATAATGTTCTTTGAGAATCCTTGCTTAACCCAGTTTTCCAAAACAGAAATTTTACTGAAAATGATCAACATGTGATCTGTGTATTTACCAATTCCCCAAGGATGAATGTATTTATTGTGTATCACAAATATGTACTAATAAAAAAATGGGAAGAAAAAGGAAAAAAATATGTATATATGTGTGTAAAACAAATCCATATATAAGTATGTAGGGAAGTGAGGGAAGTGAGGATTACTGCTATGAAAATGTTATTAAATCAAAACAAACAAGATTGATTTAAAGACTGACACACCTGTAATCCCAGCACTCGGGAGGCTGAGGCAAGAGGATCACTGTGAGTTTGAGTTTGAGGCCAGCCTGAACTGCATAGTGAAACGCTATCTCAAAAAGACCAACAAAGTAAAACAAAACATAGAAGACTGACACTACATCACTGCCAACATTCCTCAATTAAAAAAAATGCTTTATATATATATCTCTCTCTTTTTTTATATGCAGTTTACACAGGAGAGGTACATACCTCCAGAGTCTGGAAACTAAGCTCTGGCTCCCCCTACTGTGTATGTGATAGAGCTGAGAGACAATCCTGTCTGCTTGTGCTTATAGTCTCTGGAAGGCAGAGCTTCTGGAGAGGAGGGGTGGCCATAGCAGATGTCCTAAAAGAGTTGGCAATCTAGAAGGTTTTTGGATGTGATGAAAGCAATTCTCAGAGGGAAATTCATAGCTGTGAACTCACACATTAGGAAAACAGAATGGGAACAAATAAACACCCTAATGCTACACCTCCAACATCTAGAAAAGGAAGAGCAAACCAAACCCAGAGCCCAAAGACGGGAAGAAATCATAAAGATTAGAGCAGAAATTAATTCAATTGAGATGAAGAAAACAGTTCAAAGAATTAATGAAAGAAAAAGCTAGTTCTTTGAAAGATTAAATAAAATTGATAAGCCCCTAGCTAACCTCATCAAAAAGAGGAAAGAAAAAAATCAAATACAAGCAATTAGGAATGAAAAGGGTGCAACTACCACAGACCCAGTGGAAATTCAGAAGACTATCAATAGCTACTTTGAGAATCTTTACGCTCACACAATAGAAGACACAGATGAAATAGACAGATTCCTAGGAAGGTACAAATTACCAAACTGAATCAAGAAGATATAACAACTCTCAATAACCCAATAACAGGGGCCGGGGAGATGGCTCAGTGGAATAAGTGCTTCCCAGGCAAGCACAAGTGCCTGAGTTCAATCCCTGGTTCCACAAGAAAAAAAA